AACAAGAGGGAAAGAAAGGCCAGGCACTGGTGACTCATACCTGTAATCCTAGCTACTTAAGAAGCTAAGATTTTAGGGTCAGGTTTGAAGCCAGCCCAGGTAACAAAATCCATGAGACTCTTATCTCCAATAAATTATCAAAAGGCCAGAAATGGGAGAGTGTCTCAAAGGATAGAGAACCGTCCTTGAGCAAAAAGCTAAATATCAGTGTCCAGGTTCTGAGTTCAGGTCTTAGTACTAGTACCATAATAAATAAACCACTTATAGCTAATATAAATTAACAAGGAAAATGAGACATATCAACCATTAAATTTGTTTATATCTTTTAACTTACTTAAGTACTCATACAAACTCTAAGTGCAAAAAACAAAGCATTAAAAACATTATTTGTGGTGCAAGAGATCACACTCCTAATAACACATGACAATCAAGACTTTAGCATTGAGCTAGCCCCTACCCCTGTTTCATGGGACATGAAAATAAGTTTTCATGGACATATTTTAGTTCACTTACTTATTTTTAATATGTTATAATTTGAGATATTAGAAATATAAAAATTAAACTTTCTATTTGATTTTTTTTGCCAGTTCTGGGGCTTGAACTCTGGGCCCGGACACTGTTCCTGAGCTTCTTTTTGCTCAAAGTGAGTGTTCTACCACTTGAGTCACAGTGCCACTTCCGGCTGTTTCAAGTTGTTTATTGGCGATAAGAGTTTCAAGAATTTCCTTCCTGGGCTGGCTGTGATCCTCTTATCTTAGCCTCCTGAGTAGCTAGGATTATGAGCCACTGATGCCCAGCTTTTTAAAAAATTCATATTTTATTGTGAAGGTAATGTACAGAGGGGTTACATTTACAAAAGTCAGGTAATGAGCATATTTCTTTTTGAACAATGTCATCCCCTCCCGCCTTCTCTCCCAGTTTTTCCCCTCCTGATTTGCCTCCCCTTCAAGTTGTGTAGTTCATTTTCAACATAGTGACTAGTGAGTATCACTGCTGAATTGATTCACCCTTTGTCCCACTGTTTCTGTGCTTCCTTTACTCTTCCCTAAGCCACATAAACAATACAAAAAATACAGAAATAAAAAACAGTGGCAAAAGGGAATAAATCAAAGAAAAATGAAAAAAAAAACCATAAACAGTACTGTAAAAAAAAACTTGTTTCCATTTTCTGGAGTTCATTTCAGATGGCATCATTTTACATGATGATATGCACATAGGTATGGAGCCCTTGTGATCCACTACTAAGAATATCCTCCTTTCTCCTCACTGTGTGAATGTTTAGAGTACTGTTTAATTAATCATGTCCAACTGCAAAACAAATAAAGTATCCAGTACTTTGAACCATGGTTTCTTTCTTCTCTTCTCCCCCCGCCCCCGTTTCCTCTTTTCTTATTTTCTCATTTTCCTCCTCGCCACCTGGTTCTTCCTTCTTCTGTTCTTCTACCTCTTCCTTGTTCCTCATTTTCTTTCTTCCTTCTCCTCCTCCTCCTTCTCCTCTTCCCTCCTTCTCATCCTGTTCCTCCTTTTTCTTCTTACTCTCTTCTTCCTCTTCTTCCCCCTCCTTCTTCTGTTCCTCCTTAATGGACATGTTTTCAGATGGATGGTGAGACAGAAAAACAACCCAATTTGAGGAATTTAATGCCTTTAGAGAAGTGGCATAACTGGTTATCTTCTATGGAAACAGTAAATTGAAATTTTATTTCATCAGAGAAAAAGAATAAGTCTCAGACTGATATGTGGGTAAAGGAGGAAAAAGGATACAGAAATTAACAGCTGACTTCACAACCTGGGCTCAGGAAGAGGGACATTATTTGTAAGTGAAATAATTTCTTCAAGCAGCAGGCGGCGCTAATGCATCACTAGCGTTTCTGTAAGGGTGGTTAATGGCTTCAGTTGCTGTGTAGCATAAGAATAATATCTAACCTTCAAACTACAAATTTGGTGGTTATATTTTTATGACTATATGATATTTAAGGTTTTTAACTAGGCAGTATAGGTTAGTGATTTGATTTTATATAATATTTTGAAAGATACTTAAAACAGAATTTGTAATGTAAGACGTGATGTTCCTTAGCTAATTAATTAAAAGTGGAGCAAATATAGTAATTAACTGTTGTAGGTATAAAAAGGGAAAATATACAGCAAGAATGAATTTAGATTTGCATTACCAATTACATGTTTAAAAAAATTAAAAGGCCAGAATGAATTTTTTAAACATAATTCTTAGCCAAGTGCCAGTGTCACTATAACCAATTCTAGCTACTCAGGAAGAAGCTGAGATCTGAGGATCTAGGTTCAAAGTAAGCCTGAGCAGAAAAGTCATAAAGACTCCATCTGTAAAATAATCAGCAAAAGCCAGGCTGGACATGAAGCTGAATTGGTAGAGTACCAGCCTTGAGTGAAAAAGCCAGGTGAGAGCTAAAGGCTGAATTCAAGCTCTAGAACTGGGGTGGGGGTGAGGGTGAGAGCAGACAGATACCTTGTATCAACTTTTTGCTTCTTTTTCATATTTTGTGTTTTGTTTTGCTTTTGTTGTTGCTGTGTGTGTGTGTACAAGCACACGTGTGCGCATGGCAACGGCGTTAGTATCAGCACTTGAACTCAGGGCCTCTAACTCTTTCTCACTTGCTTGCTCACTGCCTACACTAGAGCCACACCTCCAGTCCAATCTTGGTTTTTAATTTGACTTTACAAAACCACAACCTATCTAGCCTTACACCTTGCCAACCTTACTCCTGTTAATCACAACAATGTTTTGTAGCTCCATTAGTCCACTATAGGGCCTTTGAATATTCAGGTCCTGAAGCTTGAAATGCTCTACCTCTGGGGACATGCTTCCTGGGCATGGTCATTTCTTCACAACAGCCTTCTCTACACAGAGAGGCTTATGAGCTATTTGGGTGGTTCCCTACCCTTTTCTTTTTTGCCACATAATGGACTACTTACATGATTAACTAATATAATCATATACAGTTGTTCTATGATTGATTAATATTATAAATATTTAAATTTCAATCAAGAATTGAATATTACATTATTAACATGTCTATTATCATTCTAACAGATTGGTGGTTATAATGTAATGACAATTATGATCCTATGATGTCAATTAATATACTATTTAATATTAATATATATCCTGGAAACTTCACAAGGAGAGATCATCTCTTTTCTGTTCACCCTTCAGTTTCCACTGCCTGTTAACAGGCAGGACCTGCGCAATCTTCTGCTAAAATAAAATCCCCTAGACCAAATGACTTCAACAACAGAATTTACTTTCTCATTGTTCTAGAAGCTGCAATCTGAGCTCTGAGCACCAACATATCCGTAATCTAGGAAGGGCTCCCTATCTTGCAGATGGTTTTCTTTTCATAGCGTTTTCACGGTCTCTTTCTTTGCAGTGTCACAGCCCTACTGGATTACATTAGCCCAGGCTGAAATGTGCAGGCATTCACAGTATTCATAAAATCAGGCTTTATAGGTTTGCATAGTTTCAAGTACAGTTTAAAACTCCTAGATGTTGGAAATGTGGTGCTGGTGGTTGTTGTTTTTTCTGTATTATTCTCTTCCATTGCATATTCCAATGCATCAATGTCTTGAATGATTTATGCTTAATGAATGAATGTGTGAGAGCTCTTCAGTTAAAAAGAGGGCCAGGCACTCTGTGTGGTGGGTGTGTGAGGTTCAGGATATCCTGAGCACAAAGGGCATAATAGCTCCTGTGAAGGTTAAGCTTGGCCCTAAACCCCACAGTCCAATCCCACTGAAGCTATACTGCCTGGCAGATGGAAAACTTGGGCAAATTACTCAACCCTCTGTGCCTCAATTTATCTGTGAAGTACAGATGATAGATTATCTTCCTCAAATAGTTATTATTAGTAAGAATATAAATAAAGCCTATGAAAGAGTATGTAATCAACAAACACATAAAAAGTACACTGCATCATTTATCATGAGGGAAATGCAAAGTAAACTTAAAATGTTGTGCTACTATACATCTGTCTGAATGACTAAAATCATAAAGACTGAAAATACTACGTGCTGGCAAAAGAAGTAGAGCAACTGCAATTCTCACACACTATTACTGGAAGTCAATGTTCACTTTGAAAACCTATCAGAAACTTCTGAAAAAAAGAATCTGACCTGTGACTCAAGAAAAAAATATTGCTATGAATATATCAAAAGAAGTAGAATACATAACCACAGAAAGACTTGGAAGAATTCTGATAGCATAAAACTGGGATACACATATCTAATTTATAACAGAATAAATGTATATAGTCATTCAGGAAAAAAACATGCTTGTGTTATATTCATAAAGGGCTTAGCATGTAGTAACTACTGATACACACAAAACACAACAATGTTCCCACAACATTGTGTGGAAAATAAGCCCGGCACAAAAAAATTTGCATGCTCTTGTATTCCATTTGAATGAAGAACATGAACCAGAAGCTCTAGTCTAGAGAAACAGACATGAGGATAACAGTTGTTTCCAAGGACTGGAGTGTGACCCCCAAAACAGGCAAGACAAATTGTGGAGATGAAGGAAATGCTGCATTTGGTTTTGGAGAAAAGTATCAAGCTGTACATAAACTTTTACTCTATAAAAATCATATCAAAATTATATCTAATTAAAAGTCTTTAGCACAAAGTTTTGTTTTCCTATATGCAAAAAAAACCATGTGAGTCTGGCACCTGTGCCTCATGTCCATAATCCTAGCTACTCGGGAGGCAGAGATCTGAGGATCATGGCTCGAAGCCAACCCAGGCAGGAAATTCCATGAGACTCTTAACTTGCCAGGTTGGTGAGCTATCATTTGAACCACACCTATAGCCCCAAAGATGCCTTTTGAATGTCATTTTAGACCATTTTTCCTTGTGACTGATAAGGTAGAAGCTCAAGGAAGCACAAAGGGGTAAAGCATGTTTGTGGTATAGCATGCCTACAGCATTCCTACACTAAAAGACTAGTGAAGACTGAAGATACCGATACTCACCTTAATCACCTGGTTCTCAAGATAATTCATGAAGCAACCAGAAGTTGCTATACAGTTTCTACATTTCCAACAACGAAGAATACTTCTTTCTTGTGGATTATGTGTTTTAGTTGTAAATTCTTCACTTCTTTTCATCTGTGGAAACAGGGAGGTAGTTTTAGAATGTTAAAGTATGTCCAATCTATTCCCAAATCCACACAACAGCAGTAGCTATTTGTTGAACAGAAAAAATATATCATTCATGGAAGTGCCTAGAGTTCCCTGTCTCCCCACCACTACCACTGTCTGTGTCTTGACCCAACATCTCAGAGTGTCTTCATTGCTCTCAACACAGCCATATGAAAGACTATTTCCAGTAACCTGAGGCCAGACAGGTCTATGGATATTCTCAAGCATTAATGAAAGTATGAAGATACGTCCAAAATCAGCGAAAGCCATTGGCTCCGGCCAGTTATTTTAAGCCGAACTTCTTGAAATCTGTATATGAACTCCTTACTTGGTCCCTTTGTGTTGACATACCAAGATGGCACACGCTTTGCCTCTAGATAGATATCTCTTTGCTCTTGCAATAGTAGATGATAAGCTGCAGCACGCAGTAAGGGCGCCTAGGAAAGGCTGCACACTCAGCACCCTGAGGTTGAGTGCTGCTGTCTGTGGAACCATAACTTGCCCTGTTTCTGGACACCCCCTCATGGGTAGCTTCAGCAGTGGGTACAGCGAGGTGAAACATGTGCACAGGTAACCAGGTTGAAAATTCCACTTGATGATGATGATGATGATGAAGATGATGATGATGCATTGTGTTTGTAACTACTGGCTTATTTTCTTTGGAAGCTGACTTTATCCTGATTGCTTTCCATTTGCCTCTCACTAAAAGTGACAAAAATACACTAGTTGAAGAGTAAATTCAACAAGTTATTGAAGTGGTTTTAAAAGGGTTATGACAATGGATTGTAAATAGAGTGTTTTGAGCAAGGCACTAATGACTCATGCCTATAATCCTAGCTAGTCAGGATAGGGGTTCAAAGGCAGTTTAGGAAGGAAAGTCCATCTTTATGGGTTCATCTCTAACCACCAAAATGTTGGAAGTGGAGTTGTGGCTCAAGTGTCAGAGCACTAGTTTGTAACAAAAAAGCCCAGGGACAGAACCCTAGGCCCTGAGTTCAAGCCCCAGACCTGCATGCATGCACACATGCACATACACACAATGGTATTTTGAATAGCTATAGCATTGAAACTGAAATAAAAAATTCTTTACTTTTTAATTAATCCTGTGATAAGTGGAAGGATTTTACATTTATAGTGACAATTCTTTTTCCTGAAAACAATAACTTCTCTTTCATAGGACTCTTGGAATTTTTCTATATTATATCAAACACCAAAACTCAGAATACGCTAACCAATTTTTTACTGCATTTTTATACCTGAGAATTTATGTCAGTACTTCAATTTGGATCAATTTGGAATGTATTTACACTAAGATGTAAGGATTCTCAAGTCAGCTACAGTACACTTAACAACTTGCCTGGTAATTATTCAGCATAAAGGAAGGCAATGTTGAGTCCATCCTGATCACATTTCTCCATTTGTTTGTTCTTTCATTGTTCATTCATCCAACATTTATTGAATGTTAACTACATGCTGAAGAAGGGTCAAAGTTGGGGAACACAAAGGTAAACAAAACTTATTTTCTGGCTTGGAAGTACTAACTGTGCTATCTATATAGATCAGTAGTTTTCTACCCTGGCACATCAGAACCACTTCAGAAGCTTAATGTAATAGTGATATATAAATCCCACTCTGAGGAATTTATTCTAAGATGAGAAAGGGAGTAGGAAAAAGTGTAATTAAAAACAACAACAATTGCCAAGGTAACCAATTGTGTGGTTAGGGTGAAGACAGATATGCATGTGACAACTAAAGAGGAAGGACCATAGATAATCTATAACCAAGTTTAAAGGAACTGTTCTTGGGAGGGACAATAAGCCCCACCCCTTGACACAGTCAATCCAGGTCTGATCTTCCACTAGATAGACTCCAGTTCTCCACTCATGGGCCCAGGTTTATAACAATGGAAACCCAGTTGCTCACTCTAATGAAACTATCTCCAATCATCACTAGATTCTTTTTTTGGGGGGAGGGGGTCTGGTCATGGGGCTTGAACTCTGGGTCTGGGCGCTGTCCCTCAGCTCTTCAACTCAAGCTAGCGCTCTACCACTCAAGCCACAATGCCGGCTTTTTTCTTTTTGCTTATGTGGTGCTGAGGGCCTCATGCATGCAAGGCAAGCGCTCTACCACCAAGCCACCTTCCCAGCCCCCTCACTAGATTCTTCAGATGCAAATATCCTACATTCCTCTTCACAGCTGAAGCACCTGTCCTCCCAGTTCACCTTCTCTCACTCTTCAACCTCTTTTATCCTCTTCTCTCTAGCCAAACAGAAACATCAGGCAGGGGTCAGATCAGAAACTCCAGATGGGGATATTCCCCATCCCCAGATGCCTGTTCCTCTCAAGATTCTTTCATGTCTACTTAAGTTGCATAGAAGAAAAAAAGCCCATAGTTTTCTATGGAAACTATTGAAAGTCACTGAAAAATATACTTGATCTGTGTGACAACTCTGCCACATTAGTGTCTTCTAAATCTAAATATTAGTTTTGATCTTGTTCCAAGGATCTAAACCAATACTTTCAACTTATAGATAGCAAATGCACAACTCTGCGTGACTCTCCATCATGGCTTTGATACTGATGATTGATTCATTCAGTATGGCTCTGAGAAAACCTACAGGAACTTTACAACGTGGGGGGATGAGGGGAAGGGATAGTAGGAGAAAAACAAAGGAAGGGGTAACAATGCTCGGCAAGAAATGTACTCATTACCTTACTCATGTAACTGTAATCCCTCTGTATAGCATCTTTACAATAAAATAAGATTTTTAAAAAATGTAACAACAGCCAGGCACTGGTGGCTCATGCCTATAATCCTAACTACTCAGTAATCTGAGATCTGAGGACTGTGGTTCAAAGCCAGGCCAGGCAGGAAAGTCTGTGAGACTGATGTCTCCAATTAACCACCAGAAAAGCAGAAGTGGCAGTTGGCTTCAGGTGGTAGAGTGCTAGCCTTGAGCAAAAAGAGCTCATGGACAGCGCCCAGGCCAGCTTTACAATAATATCCTACTAGTTAGTACTGATCCAGACCTCCATGTATCCTGGGTCTTCAAATACTTGGTTCTTTCTCACAAGTAAAATCTCATCTATCATCTCCTGAATGATATGGTATAAGGACCAGATGGAGAGTTTATTTAGATATAGATCACTGGGCCACAATCACATGATCCTAGTTCAATGGTTCCGGGGTAAGACTCCAAAGTCTGCTTATTTAATAAGCACACTAGGTGAGTCTGTAACAGGTGATCTAATGACCACACACAGAAAAAGACCAATCTTCAGAATATAGCCTAAGCTCCTTCTTATGTCAAAAGACATTCTTTCAGTAACATGAGTGCCCCTTGTGATAGAACTTCTCTGAATCCAAGTGTGGTAATCAGTCTCTACATGTGATAAAAATTGCATAGAACTAAATACATATCAGAAGAGTATATGAAACTGGTAGAATCGAAATAAATGAGTAGAAGATGTATGATATCACTGTGAATTTTATACTCACAATTCACAATTGATTTTTAACGTTATCTGAAAGTTTTGTTAATCACAAAACCTTGCAAACTCAAAATTATAGCCATATATGTATCAATTAACTGTCCTGACATAACTGTATACTTTTCTAACTTTTCACTCATATTTTTGGCCATGTAATTTTGGTTACTTTGTCATGACAACAACGTTGTGATATTTTCTAGAGAGAATAATGATAATTCAATTCCTCATCTGTCTAAAATAATAGTTCTTTACTATAAATACTCCTATGCAAGTCTTTGCATATTTCACTAAAATTTTTTTCTGTTGTTCTATCTTCAATTCTCTTTTTATAATAGCATTTTCCCTTTCCCTTGAATTTTTGTTAAATAATAGTTCTCATCCTTTAACACTGAAGCCAAATTTTCTTTTGTAGTCATTGCCAGGGAAAACACAATTATTCCCTCTGTGTTTCCTAGCACTTTAAATCCACCTCCATGTGCCACTCATCATGTGGCATCACACTTACCTCTGTGTATGAACCCTGAGCTTCTATAAAGGACCACACTTTACATGTTCCAGTCTCAACATCAAACATGGTACCTACCTAGCAGTAAACAACAAACAAAATCATCAATGATTGCTGAAACCAAATGAATAAGATATGGCTGGGTGCTGGTGGTTCATGCCTGTAATCCTAGCTACTTAGGAGGCTGACATCTGAGGATTAAAGTTCAAAGCTACTTTAGGAAGGAAAGTCTATGAGACCCTTATCTCCAATTAACCACCAGAAAATCCAAAGTGACTCAAAGTGGTAGAATTCTAGCCTTGAGTGAAAAAACTCCCAGAATAAGATATGGCAGAGAGCTCAGCTTACACTGTCTCCCCCAATACTATATGTTAATTTTCTCAGGCCAGTCACAGGGATGAGCCAAATAGAGTGATTTTGCAATAGACAAGAAGAGCCTACTGGGAAAGATGCATAGCTGTGTTTATATGTATCTGGGTTGAAAGAGGTACTGGAGATTGTCCAATAGTGACTAACGTATAGGAGAACTGAGATGGCTTCTGTCAGAGAAGTTATACTCAGAGAGACCTATCTCTTCGCAATCTAAGGAACTTATTTGTGGGCTGCAAATTCAAATTCATTTCTAATTCAGCATTAAGAGTGTTGCTTGTAGGAAGAGAGAGAATCATAGAAATAAACAACTGAGATTGTTTTCTGAACTCTGCGAAACTTTGGAGTCTAAACAATTTTGGGTCGTACAGACCACATGGTTTTAATACCATGAGGACTCTGAGTAGCAACCAGAGAACTACTGAAAGGATCACAGAAGGAACAAAGATGATCTTGAGAAACAGTATATCATAATATGGAAGTTAACTTATTGCTGAGTAGAAGCAATGTATGACCCACAAACAAAAACAAAATCACAAAACCTCAAGAGTAGTCCTCTTTGGGTGGAATTCCTGTGGGCCCACTGTGACAGGGACTTCAC